ACAGCTAACTATGGGTTGCCATAACCGCGGCTATCCCCGAATCTAGTCAGTAGATGCTTAACAAGCGTTAGCATTTCATTAGCATTCAGCTAGTGGACTTTCTTCTAGATGTACATTTTTGTCCCAAACTTAGTTAATAAAAAAGACATCGAAACCGCAGATCTGTCACTAAGACATCTTTAGTATATATTACTGGACGCACACATGTAGGATTAACAATGAAAACGGGTCACTCTATCCTGCCTGTAACTATTTCGCCAACTGCTGCAGCTTTAACAACTCAGTGAGAACACGGGGTATAGGCGTGTCCACAACAAGGGCTCTGATCCGCAGATTTATTCGGTCCCGATAAGACTAGTAAGTCCTTCAAAACAGACGGGTTAGAAGTCCAGGTGTGTACCTTAACATCTAGCATCACTTTTATCAGACAATTACAAAACAAAGTTTTCTGCACTGTGCATCAACATCGGGCATGGCCAAAAGGACACGGCCATGGAAGGTAAGGACGAGCGATAGCCTACTGTTCCTCCACGCTGCATTAGCTTGAGCGATGGCTACTTTTAAAATGTCTGAGAAATTCCTAAAGTGATATTACTTTTCACCCGTGTATTACAAAATGAGTGATAGTTTAAACATTTTAAGTGAACTAGACACATGCTATTTTTACGCAGTCAAAGGTATTCTATACGGATGACACATAGACATTGTTTTGGTAATAACCCCCTTTCCCAGAGGTAGGCCTATACACCAATTTATAGGCCTACCAACAACTATTAGTGACCAAAGGTTCACTCATTCAGGTCAGGCATACATTTTGTTCATTTTTCTCCCCTAGAATGAAGCAGGGACCTTTTGATTTATACTATATATTTCCTGAAACTGCTTATTACAATTTATTTATTACAATAAATAAATACAGATTCACATCAGGTCTTCCATGATGCACAGTCTGTTCTTCAGTTTGTTGGTCCCCAGTGTATATTTTGCACTGTGCAAGTGGAGGCTTCTGTAGGGCATCTACATCAAAAGCATATAAGGGATGCTGTTTATTTTGAAGATGGAGATACAGGTACCTAAACATGATTATTGTAAAATAATGTATAATCAGTTTATTACAACACTTTAAGCTAATGTTCATGTAACTAATATTCCTAATTTTATTCAATGTTCTTTGACAGAGAAATTTGTGGTATCGTGCTATTGCCAGGACACAAATCAAAGACATAGATGCCACAATCATTGTCCATTCTGCAACTACAGAGTGTTAGCCCGAACTGCAACCTTCAGGAGATCTTCAACAACTGGTAATTGTATTTCACACTCAAAGGAACTGGAAAGACATTTGAAGCCTCCAGCGGCATTAAAATATCATGTCACAGTCATACCACCGTAGACTTTGTTTTTGTTTAAATTAGCTCAAAAAATACATCATACAAAAAACGTGAACTTTGAAAAATATCTGTAGTCCCGTTATATGGGATAATAAATAACAATTTTGTATTGTAATTTCATGATGGCCAATTTGTCTTTCAATTGCAGGCAAGGAATCATACAAGAAAAGGGGTAATGTTTGTTTTTTTAAAGATAACGTTTAGCACCCACAGCACCCATACTATCATTGATACATTGATCCATTGATCTTTACTTCTAGCACTAACTAACGCATTCATTGTCTTGCATTTTTCTATATAACAAAAAAAGATAAGACCTCCCTTCTAAAAGTAAAAGCATTAGGACAAGCCAACCACTACTATTCATTTGGTTGTAGCACCTTATGTTGAATGTTTTCTGTTAATTCTTTATTTTTGTTATTTTAGAAAAACATCAAAAAAAGACAGACAGAGAAAGCAGATGATGTCCCCCATCCAAATGAGTCAGCGAATAATTCAAAGATTCCATGCATGCATTTCTTTCATCTCACTCTAATCTGAGACGCCATATCCGTGACCTTCATAACCGACCGACAATCCCAATAATGTGCATTGACCCTGACAAGGGCATTTACGTTACACCAAGACATGATTCAGGCCCTCTTTTCCCGATTCATGTCATCAAGTCCACAAGCATACCGATCATTGATTGTGAAGTTGTATTGTGCCGGAAATTGATGGACATTGCTAAAGCTTCAGGGAATCCAGTGAAAGAGTGTGTTCACCTGGAAAGGGTCAAGTATGCTGATCCATATGTCCCCGCCGCATCTGTGAAAAATGATTCACTACAGGAAATGTTGGACAAGGGACTCTGAATGGAGTGAGCGGTGCAAGGAGTTGCACACAGCAGCAGCCAACAGGGGAACTGAAAGCATCAACCCCATTTTTTATAGACATGCGGGATTTTCTAAAAGATGGATATTTTTTTCTGTCTTTACTGACAAAAAGGACAACTGGTGCCGGTTTGAACGTACTATGGTGAGCTTTGACTCAGTGGGGGGTCAGTGGCATTGTCCTTGTCGCGAGAGGGGACAATCACACCGCTGTGTCGATCACATGATGGCCTTGTGGTGGATCTTTCAGGAGTATCCAAATCTTCTCAGTAACTGTGATACCCAGCCAGAGGACATTGAAGACATGGAAAGTGAGCTCCTTGACCCCGAACTGCCATGTTCATCATAAAATGTCAATGACCAAAGAGTCCTAGTTATGACAGAGTACTTGGCCAAATCCAAGAAGATACCTGCATTGCATAACATCTCCATTGAACTGCGCACAAAAGAAAAACTACCACCGAAGAACTTCATTCCAAGTGAGCTTAATTGTCCATATTGCCCTGGACCAACGCCCCCAGGTCTGATAGAGGAAACAATAACACAAGCCACTGTTTATGGATATACCTACATTGAAAAAGGTAATATGATCTATTAAATAATCAGTTTTCCATGGACCTAGGACAGCATACCACATTTAATTATACATTATCCATCTTTATCAACATATTGCAATAATAGTGTGGTATGAGAAAATAAAGTGAACAAAAAAAAGTGGCATCGGAACAAAGACCCTTTTTATTTGTTAGTCAAATCACTAACTGTTCCATTTTGAACTTTCGAATAAATGATTTTATATTTATTTGTGCCAGGGATTTTTTTGTAATTTTAAATGGACAAAATGACAACGCTTTTTACTTTGAAGCAATAGTGTTACTTACTGGCTGGAAAATTGAAACATGTTTTCCTTTTGCTGTAATTGAAGGTGTCTCTGTTGCCATAAAGAAGCGCCCTGTCTGCGGAAATCATGTTTGTTTCCAAGACTACACATCCGGGTTCCACAATTCCAACAACAGGGTGTTGCTTACTCTTCCGCTATGTGCACTCCTGCTCTCTGCTTTGGCTGTAAGTTAATCAAATTTAAGTGATTACACATGATGTTAGCATTGTGTTATTTGACAACATGCTGACTGACCAGGAAATAAAGGTAAAATAGTATCTCGAAATTATTTGATTTTGAAGAACTTTTATGTTAACAAATTATTTTGAAATGCTATAAGTGATCTATATTGATTGTTTTCAAACTTCTTAGCTGAAGTGTTCTTTTTGTCTTTGTCTCACTCACATTCGATTGCTATTAACTACTTTAACATGTGATGTATCATGCGGTTCAAAGGATATGGACCAAAACCTAAAAGATGGCAAGATGGCAAGATTCTGTCCAACAGAGTCTCCTCCACAACAAGGGGTTTTATCCTGGACTTAAGATAAAGTACGCCACCAACAACACATTGTTGGATGAAATTCGGGTATGCCAAAGACATTCAGATGTTACCACATAACAAACATCAAATGTTTTTGTTTTTTTTCACAATAAAATGTTTTATCAACTCTTATATAGTAAATAACTATGGTATTTTTGTTACATGTCAATAGTAAATTAGAAAATGCAATTAAAATAATATCCAAAGACAAAATTGCAACCACGGCTTCTACGCAAAGGTCTGTATTTTTGAGATCATGTGTAATAATAACAAACGTTTGTTAAATGTGTTAGACTGCAGAGATGATGAAGAGATTGGAGACCATCCTGCCTGCATCAGGAACAGAAGTTGAGCAGAAGATGTACCCGGAAGAAGTAATTCTGCCAGAGGTAGGAATCATAGAATCAACACAAAATGACTATACACTTAATAAGCAATTGAGGGACAAAACCATCACATTTTGTAATACAAAATATAATGTGTTTTGTGGTGAGAAAATGTGCATTCTGGTTGCTTTTAAGGTAACAACTCTGTGGCTAAGAAAGAAGTTTGGTCTTTGGCGACACAAGGCAGCAAGACTCCTTCTGCAACAAGAAGATGCAAAACGGTAACACCTATTTGTGAGATTGAAGTTCATTTCTAAGTAAGGTTGTATAAATAGAGGTGCTAGGAAGTCTGTTGAATGAATTATGGATTTCTACAACAACAATTAACAACAGATGAATTACATTTTTTAATGAATTTAGAAATGTGTGATAATAAAATGATGTAGTTGCTTCGGATAACTGGACTTGTATTGAAAAGTATATCCTGCAAGTTATGTGATGATTTATTCTCGTTGTGTTCAGTGAAGCAGATAGCCCAACCAGCAGCACTGCAGGCACAGAGGAAATAGACCAACAGATATATATATATATATATATATATCTGTTGGTCTATCTCCTTCCTGACAGTCTCTGCGTCTCATTTAATTCTTCTAATGGTCCCACTTATGACAACTTCAGCTCTATTGATTAGGCAAATATTTATGCTTTCATGTGTAACTGAATTTCTGTTCCAATAGCACTTTTCATTGAAAACATAACAGAATAAAATAACCTTAAAAAGAGTATTTTTGGAATAAACTCTGACATCTAGGAGGTATTATTGTGGCAGCTTGGATATCCTCTGAC